CTTTAAGAAGGAGCTATTGTAGCCTGGCTCTCAGTCTACCAGTCCCCCACTCCATACAACACAGATTGGGCTCAGAAGATGACGATGCGATCACTGGAATAAGTGTTCCAGTGATCGCATCGTCATCTTCTGAACTGCTACCTGGAACTCGCCTGTTCGCTTCTATCAACAGATTGGGCTGACTGCGCGATCCAAATTATCCCGTCAGTTGGCAGCCTTCCAAGGCACGGCTTTTAGGGCACCGTGATAGCTCTAAACACGTCAGGTCGTTTATAGTAAACTTTGGCCCAAATATTCATGTGTAAAATTCTCGGTTTGTGCCTATAGACCTTGAATAAACTGATCTACTCCAACTTCGTAGATAATTTCTGAGGAAATTAAAAAAAGGACGTTTATAGTAAAGAAAGTAATAACAAGGTCTTCATTCAGTGGTCCTCTGAAGCTCTAGAAAAAGTCAGGGCTTTCTCCGCTCTCGAGAGCCGGGTATTATAATGCTGCCTAGAATGGCAGGGATGAATTCCATCACGGTGCAATCGCAGACCAAAATTTGCCTAATCAGGCGGTAGCGCGGCATGACTCAACCGTTGGTTAGGATTTCGGTACTGACCTTATAAGCATCCCCTCCCTCGAATTTATGCTCAAATCGTTCAACCAATAATTCGCAAACAGACCAAATTAAAACTGGTTATTTTTTTGAATTCCAACGGTCCACGTGTAACTGGAATGAGCAAAACTTTTATATTATACCAGACTAAATCATACTGGGCAGACTGAGGGGAGGAATACGAGTCTGCATACGTGTTTTCCCTTCAAAGACTTGTCCTGGGACAAAGTGGACTTTGGTAAAGGTCGTCCTATTCAGATTGGCAAAGTTGAGAGATCCGGGTTGATTATTTGAAGAAGAAGAAGAAGAGTTCTTCTTCTTCTTCTTCTTCTTCTTCTTCTTCTTCTTCTTCTTCTTCTTCTTCTTCTTCTTCTTCTTCTTCCTCTTCTTCCTCTTCCTCCTCTTCTTCCTCTTCTTCCTCTTCTTCTTCTTCTTCTTCTTCTTCTTCTTCTTCCTCTTCTTCAAAGGTTGTCCTCTTTTTACCTGAAGACATCTTCAAAGCTAAAATTGGGAAATTTTCGAAGCAAGCTGTAAACGGAGAAATATAGATCACATTTGAACTTTCTAGAACTGCCCAGTTCGACAAGGACCATGGAGTCTTATAAAGTGAATCCCGAGTGTGCTGGGGGAAGACAGTAGAAAATTAATTCTTCGAGGGCACTTCAGTTTGCCAGAATTGCCCATGTAATTTACCTGCAAGGTAACCCGTAAGCAACTTATTTTTAGGTCTTCGTTCAAGTAGCACAACTGCTAGTCCTAGGCCGAGTAATCCGAAACTTAAGAGAGAGATGGGATAACTTTATTCATTGCTCATTTCCGAAGACTGAGAATGCATAGGACGACGCACTTCCTTATAGACAAGCTATCCAACTTGTCGCCCAATTTTAACTGGGGTTTGCCCTGTCTTTCGACAGTGAAGGTCCAGTCCACCACTTAGCAGTTGCTGAACCGCGAAGAAGTGTCTGACCGTCTTCGCCGTTGATTACTTCTCTGATTAGTAAATGCACCTG